ACTTTAAATGTGTTCTTTTCTACTGACAGGTTCCAAAGTCTCTTCCTATTTCCCCTCCTGTTTTCCATTTTCTTCATTTGCAAGTCACTGTTTACTGTGTTTCCCTCTAATATCTCCTTTATTCTTCTTTTTTTTTTTTTTTTTTTGGTGCCTATCTCTCACTCTTCACCTTCTCTAATGTGAGTTTCTTTATGCTTTCAAAGGAAAGCTTATGAACAGCTGCTCCTCCCTTAACACACACGCACACACACACCCACACAAGTACACAAGCACACACTCAAATCCACTGGGTACTAAGCTTGCTGTAGTTCCTCCACCGCTGTTCTTCTTTGTCTAATAGAATATTGGCTTCCTTTATTATTTTTCCCCCTACTCAGCTCCCTCTACAGAAATCAATGTTCTGCTACACTGACCGGAGTGACAGTAACGCAGGAGACGCCAGCCCAACAACTGGATGCACAATGAACTGTTCCCTAGAAATCCCTCTCTGCTAAAAAAAAAAGGAGGAGGAAGTCACACTGTTTCCTCTATGGACAAAGCAATTCCTTTTTTTTTTTTTTAATGGCTCCCCTGCCTCCTGTTCCCCCACGCACCCACCTCCTAAATCCAGAAGTGAACATCTCAGATTTACAGGATACTGGTTCAAACAGAAGGTTTTAAAACAGTTCCTTCTTTACTATACCATAATCTGATACAAGAGCCCCAAACATAAATGCTGTTGCTCTCTTAAAGGCAAAGAAAGGCTATTAGTGGGGCCAGCAAAGTCTTTTGGGGGATTAGTGGTTTTTTTTCCCAGATTAGGAGACATTAAAGAAAAATTTCTTGAATCCCTGACAGTATTTCCCTGAGTTAATCTCCTCTGGTAGCTGTTGGGATTTGCGGCGTCTAACAATGCCAGTCACTGCTGGCTATGCCACGCAATAGGATATGTTATAAAGCAACCCACACATTGATCATTCAGAAGAATAATATTATACTCCAGTGCTAGAAAAGGTGGATGAGAATGGACTTCATTTTTAGCTCATCAGAGCTGAGGGCTGACATACAGATGTTTAGTCTGCTTCATGTGAATTCAACATGTTTCTCTTCATAAAATAGTACCCGATTTGGGGGGATTTGGGTGGGTTTTTTTTGTGTTTCTTTTTTTTGTGTGTGTGTGTGTGTGTGTTTTGGGGTTTTTTTTGGGTGGGCTGGGGGTAATTTGTGGTGATTTTTTGTGGGATTTTGTTTTGTTGATTGGTTGGTTTGGTTTGTGGGTTGTTTTTTTTTGTTTGTTTGTTTGTTTGTTTGTTTTTTTCCAGGAAGGGAAGGGAGGTTCTGTCTTTTTTCAACCCATGATTTTCTGCCCTACACCCACCTCCCCCCATCCAGTAAATAAATAAAAAAAATCTGTTTCTGGACTGTTTGTATTGATACTGAAAATCTGAGATTCTTTTGATTCATTTTTTCATGCTGAAATATCATTGGTTTTGTTTCCTGGTGGGGTGAATGTTAACTAGTAGGCTCAGACTCAGTGCTGGAATGAGTAGTTGACATTCCACCGAGGAAACCAGTCAGGAGCCTCTTTAAACAATTACACACTTTGACCTGCAAACTCAAGTTAATCAGAGCCTACTGGATTTCCAAATGGGTTTTGTTAGAAAATTGGCTATTACATGGGGATGGGTAAAGGGAAATTTTGTTTGCTTACTGAAGTGGTTCAAATAATCCTACGCAAAACTAGTGTTTCACACGTGGCTTTTTCTCTCCCAGCTTTTCCACAAATACATTTGATTTGGGATAATGAAAAATAGAGGAAAAAGCAGACACTATTAAAGGCTTAAAGGCAAATCATTTAAGTCACAGGAAGGTTAGACAGCTACCTGGGTTGCATTTTTGCTAATATGACTCACTGAACTATTTAAAAGTGATCTGTTCCATGGAAATATGATCTGAAAATACTTATCAGTGTTTCACTTTTTCTTGGAATTATATTTGCTGGATTAGTACTTCACTATGGACAAGTAGAGTTTCACTTGTACCAGGAAAAGTATAGAAATTAATGATGATTTTAGAATTATTATATATTGTTTGTGACTGAAAATGTAATTTTCAAAGCTTGAATATTTTGGGTATTTCCCCAATCTTATTCTTGTGTTTGAAAAACACTTAGTGTAACAACGCTAAGCAATACAAGCACTTTTCATTTTCAAGGCATTAAACAGGGAATGGCTAATTACATTAGCTGTTTGGCACCAGCACAATACAGACTTCATCCTTCATTCAATTAGAGCTTGCTTTGAATTCGGTGAGGTCAGATTGCATCCCAGTTAAGTGTTATGAGTCAGATTGTGTCCTACCCATATTTCTACAATTACTGAAGTAACACTAAGAACTTTTGACAAATGAGGTACGTTTCATTAGGTCTGTTTAGCAGACAGGGAAAGACAAAATTAAGTAACTTCAAAGTAAGTGGTAAAATCGATTGTTAGTCCCTATGAAGCTTGAATTTGTAAGCCTTTTGGTATGGGGCAAACAAAAATTGAAAGAAAGGATTTCAGCTCCCTTGTTCAAGTACATTCCTTGTCTCACGTGAAGGGAGGAGGTACCACAAACTTATGTACCCTAATTTGGCAAACGTGACATAAGCATGACACTGGACATTCACATGGGAGCACTTTCTTATTCTCTGCTCACAGAGGCACACATGGATGTACATACTTTCCATACCTGTGGAAAACTCCAGAGGATAACACAAGGAACAGATATCCTCATCTTAGCAGAGGGCTAGTAATTTATTTAGTGATGCCAACAAAAGCAATCTCATAAAGACCTACTTCCTATAGTTCATTTATGATGAGTCCCACTTCAACACTTTACCCAGTTCTCGCAGTCAGCCCATCTATTTATCCCAGTTCTGGTATCTCATGCATTTAACCTACACGAGTCTGCCTGATGGTATAAGGACTTTCAGGTTCCAGTCAGAAATGAGCCTACCTGAAATCAAGATCCAAAATTTCTTTTTCTGCTCAGATTCAGAACTCTGAATGTGCAGGTGGTAACAGTCCTGGATGCAGGTGGCCTCATGTCTAGTCTTTCTGTTGGCTGTGCCAGTGGAGAGGGCAGCAGGGATAAAATGAACAATATTGTAGTGTAGCAATCAGTGTGCTAAAAGTTATTAATCTGTAAACGGGATCTAGCTTTTACGCTTGGAGCGTGTGCAAGCTTTTAATGCCTAAGGAGCTACAGCGTCTGTGCCAACACTCATTGCCTATGGGGACCGCGAGGAGCTGAGGAAGGCGCAGAAGTCGCTGCGGGACGCTGTCAGCTGCTTGCCGCGATGCCGCTGCCCACCCACCGGAGGGGACGGGGAGGCCGGAGGGGATGGCCGCCGGCCGCTTTCCCCTCCCCCCTTAGTTATGTCCCCATTCCCCCGCGCGATGGCAGCATTTCTGAGCAATCCCTTCGGCGCGAGTGAGGAAGCAGGGCTCCAGGAGCGGGACGAGGCCTGGGCGGCAGCGGACAGTGAACGGAGACCCCCGGGGATCCAGTGGAGCTCGGTGCGCTGCCCCGCTACCCGGCGGCGCCTTGCTTGGGTGGGGAACGTGAAAAGCAGCGGCGACGCGGGTCCTCGCTCAAGGACAAGATGCTTGACTCTTCCCAGCCGTGGCAGCCCACCGGGAGGGAGGTTTGCCTTCTGGGGTTTTTCTGGCATGGGAAGCTTAACACGAGTATACCCCGGTATTTCCCGAGAACCGCCATAGTGCACAACTGTGCTGCTGCAGTCCCTGTCTGAAGCGTCTGGTGCCTGAGGAAAGGGCGGAGGGTCCGGCTCAGCCTTTCTGAAATTGGCCTGTTCCCAAACATAACTTCTCACTGTCAAAGATGGCAGTTGAAGAGTCAAAGTGGGAGCACAGAGTGGTGCAGGGTGGTGACCTTCCCAGAACTGCTGTAGGACCTGCAAATGCAAGTTAAATTTGAGAGAGGTGTGTGGTTTTTCTGGCCTATTCAGCATCTCTAGGCTTCTGGTTCTCTGAGGACACTTTCAGAGCTCCAGTTATGAAGAGGAGAACCTGAAGTACCTCTGTCAGTGATCGCTTCCCCATTAGTCTGTCACTTCTTTTCAAATCAGAAATGCACAGATATTTTTTAAGAAGTGATCTATGGTTTTTTTCAATTTTTTTTCTCCCCAAGTTTGCAAGACCGAATTTATTTTTACTGGGTTGGTGCACAGGGCTTTTATGATACTGAAGTAATTTATGAAGATGGAACTGGACTAAGGTCTTTTATACAAGTCTTGAAGAGTGGTGTAACTGTCTTGTGCTGGAATACAGTTTATGACATGCTGTAAAATACTCCATAACTTATGTGATAGAGTGGAAAAATAAATCTTCTTCAGCATCACCTTTGTGTTGCCACAATGTGCCTTTCCGTATGTTATCTTATTTCTTATGCCTCACAGTCAGCAAGGGACTACTTTTATGCAGCTCTACTGGTACTTTCAACATGGTTGAAGCAACAGGTTGCAAGTAGTAAATTAATGTTATAAAGGCTAAGCTTAGAAAACACCAGGGAAGCTAGATATCTTGCAAAAAGAACTTATGTTTGTCTAAAAGTAACCTCCATGAAGAAAATTGGCTATCTGAAAAAGAAAAAAATGGTTTTAGGGACATGCATAGCAGCTTTTGCCTAGAGGTTTGATTTGGAAACTTAAATTTTAAAATAAAGTTCAAAACAGTAGAAACAAAGGCTTGCACAGGCAGGAGTTACACAATGGATTCAGATAGTCCAAATCTTGTTTTTCAATGAAACACTGAAGTTTTCAACTCATCCTTAATGGGAATGAATACTGTGGAAACATGTCAGCAAGAAGTAGTGAGTTATTCTGCCTTTTGTACCACACCATGTCTGGTTTTTATATACGTATTCGCCAATGGAAAGATTGGAACCAGGGCATGAGTACCAGAACCACTAATCTGTTGTCATTCGTTTATTTTTATTTTAACAAATAAAAAGGCCAGATGAGTATTTTGGACCACCATAGCAAACAATACATTTTGTAGTCCTTTGTCTCTTCAGAAGAGAGGCAATTAAAAAGAGAAAGTGAATCATGTGAGTGTGGGGATGGCACATCAAAATATAAAATAAGCTATAAAAATGATGTCCCTCTAGTCTAATCATCTATTTGTCTTAAGGTTGGTCATAAGCACACACTTCATATATAACCTGTAAAGGTCTTTGTTACAGGAAAACATTTCAATTCTCCACTCTTCAAAGCAATCTGTTAAGGCCTATCTTTTTAGCCTACCCAAGCACTGCAAGGGGTTATAAGGATGTATGAATTGTACTTCATAGCAGCAGGACTGAGCTTTTAAAAGCAATGGGGTTTGACAAGCTGCAAAGGTGGCCTTAACAGTAGCTGTGCAAAGCGCTACCATGCGCTAGATTATTTAGAATTTATTATTTTGAGCAGGTTCCAGGTGTATGTGTCCTGCTTCAGAATGGAGCTGCAAGCTGTGTCTAAGTTGAGTGACATTAGCTATTGCTTGTGAGCTAAAGAGGATTCTGAGCTAGGAAATGGCAGTCTTAAGGTGTAGTATGTTGTCAAGGCCATCCAGGGTTTGAACTTGTTCGGTGTCACTTTGGTGTGCTGCGGAGTTGAAAGGCAGAACAGCATCTGCTGTTACATGAAGGAGCTTTAGTTTGCCCATAAATCTTAAACGAATACCAATTTTAGTCCTTGGAGCAGCAGAATCCTTTTGAACTTCTGTTGGATACAGGGATTGCAGGGATCAATCAGACTACTGCAGGCAGGATGTGTTCATTCAGTAGCAGCAGCTTTGGCACGAAAAGAGGATTGTTAGAGCCTATTTTCCCTTTAGCAGCAGGAGTAAGTACTGTAAAGAAACAGGACTCAGTGAGATTGCATGATGCATAAACAGTGTGTAATCCTCTGAATGTGCAGGGAATTATATACGAATGAGGAGCAAGAACAAAAATCCAGTTGTCATTGTTGCACATGCCTGGTGTTGAATATCCAAGTTTGAATTGTCTGTCAGGGATGCCTTTGTCTGCAGAAGGGAACCCTGGTACCATATAGCACTTTCTAGTTCCTCCTTTGGGATTTCATCAGAGAAGTCCAGAAGGCAAATGGAGCTGTATTCAGTGGTTTCAGCTCCACAGGTTTCTATTTTGTAAATCGGATAAAATGCCTTCCTTTTAACATTAACAGAATCGTCTCAGGGAAAAAGTATTTATTGAATAGGTTTCTGTAAGCAATCACGGAATAAAACCTTTGGCTAGAAGGGCAAGAGAATGGAAACAAAAATCTGATATGCACTTTCCTGGAAGCTACAGTATCGAATATCAAATGGTGTGCAATCAGAAAATGGTAAGCAATCAGATCTATTGCAGAGACCTGATTATAACAATATTCTCTTTTTGCCCTCCTTCCATAGGGGTGATGGTATATTCACAAAGAAAACAAACAGGTTTTGTAAAATATCAAGGATCATATGCATAATTTTTTTTCTAGATTTTTTTTTGTTCTTATTTTCATGGAGGTGCTTTTGGCAAAATAATCAAAGGCTATAATAAAGGGATTAAAAGATGTCTGCATACTAGCATGCATGCATACACATACATGCATGCATCCTACCTTGGGTTGCAAATTTCCATTAATTATTTTGAGGAAATAAATTAAACATAGAAACAGAAACTGAAAGATCAGTAGCAGAAGGGTTTTGACAAACATAATACCTGCAGCTGCATTTCTGTTCCTATGAGAGATTTGATTTGACATCTGCTCATGTTAGCATTTGGAAGAGAATAAGGCTTGGCATATGCTACTATGTATTTTCCTCCTACCGAGGACAGAAGAGGCAGGCACCCTGCTATACCTTTTAAGTTGTTCCCTTATTGCACAAGTCAAAAGAGAAATACTTAAACATACTTCAGAGGTTAATTTAGAACAATTAGTTTCTCACTTTAAAGACACAGTTGTTTCCTATTTTTTGAAATCTATAAAAATACAAATTGCAGGAGACCAGTAAACCTGTCTAATTTCCTTAAAAAAAAAACAAAACACAAAAACAAACCAAACCAAAAAGTGTCCAGTGCCTAGGAAAGTACATCATATCTCTGTGCCTTTTCTTTCTCAGGAAATCAGAGATGGAACTACCTCAGCTACATGTTAAAACATAAACTTCAACATGCAATAATTGTTGAAAATCAAAGTTTTATTCCAGTTATTATCCCTCAATGTATAAGATGCTGATGGCCTCAACTGCAGAAGCTGTTTAGGTTATACAGACATATTAAGTGGATGGCAATGACATTGTCTAGCAGCAAGCAGCAGAGCAAGACTCAGCAGCTGAGGCTGGACAGACTCGATCAGAAAATGGGGTGTGCTTTTCTAACAGCAAGGGGCAGGTTTTTGTCAGCCATGCAGAGCTATGCAGAGGTCCCCATCACTGAGCTCCAAACCATGCCTGCTTATCTCTTGAAATAATGCTTTCTAGCTCAGCAAGAGATTTTAGAGCTTAGTACACGATTGATGTAGGGATTCCTGTGGTCTTTGTTACAGGTCAGATGAGCTTATATAACTGTCATGTCTTGTCCTTCGCCCCACGAATCTTTTTATCGGCTAAACACAGGGTTTAGTATATACATCCAACAAAGATTTCCTCACATTCTCCTTTCTGCAATTCAAAGTTGTACTCCAGTGTATCAGTATTTGGTCATGTGAAACAGGAATGTATGTCACCTGGCTTTTAAGCAGCAACAAATGCAGCACATGAGAAGATGGCATGCTTTCCATTGGTAGTTAAACTTAGCTGTGAAAAGTTGTGTTAAACCTCAGTCAATGTAAAACAAGCTACTGTATTACAGTGGCTAAGTAGTCTGAACCACTTTATCAGGGCAGCCACAGTTCATCAGTACTCACCTGGATGAGTGACTCCAGATTTGCTGCGGCCTTATTCTGCCTGCAGAATTCTTAGACAAAAATTCTCACTCTGAGTGCAGGAACCAATTCATGTGTTTTGGGGAAAGAAGAGCATAATGTTTTGGAATATATTATGAGTTCTTTCCTACAAAAGAGTATACTGAGTTTGAATTATGTAATACACTATTATTTTCATTATATAAAAAATACGCTTTATCCAGCACAACAGTGACACTATAAAGAACAATAAGCTGCGTATAAATAAAATTGAGGAATCTGATTTTAAAGCTGTTTGAAAATTCCCATGTGGACTGCAAGGAACTTCGGATCTGCATAATTTGATTTTTGAGCATTTAGTGTAATTTGACCAGTCGAAGAATGCCAGCATGGAATATATGAGGAAAGAATGCAAAAAATTTCAGAGAGTTGACCACTCAAATCACCTGAGATAATGACTAGAGGATTGTAACAGACCAAGCAAGGAACAGTCAAATGCTCATGGAAATGTGCAGAATATTTTGCAAAAGTCTGGGTGCCTCCACAAATGAGAAGAAAGAGGCAACAGTAATTGACTATATGTCAGGCATTTAACATGCGGAGTCATGGAGCTAAGCATTTCTGTAATGAGCTCAGCTGTCACTAGTGATGGAAAACACTGTGTAGACAGAGAGAGGAAAATATTTAGAGGTGTAACAGTCCTGTTACCATACTAAGTACTCAAGCTTACTCATGCTCAGGCTTGAAGACTCAGATATTAGAATTTATTTTTCTACTGTGGTGGTTTAAAACCTGTCGGCAAGTCAGCCACGCAGTCTACTTCCCAACCCCCTCTTTTTTCCCTTCCCTTCCCTTCCCTTCCCTTCCCTTCCCTTCCCTTCCCTTCCCTTCCCTTCCCTTCCCTTCCCTTCCCTTCCCTTCCCTTCCCTTCCCTTCCCTTCCCTTTCCCTTCCCTTCCCTTCCCTTCCCTTCCCTTCCCTTCCCTTCCCTCCCTTCCCTTCCCTTCCCTTCCCTTCCCTTCCCTTCCCTCCCCTTCCCTTCCCCCCCCCCCCCCGACTCCTGGAGAAACCGCTATAGACTCCTGGATTTGTCATTGTCATGGTTTAAAACCAGCCAGACAGCTTGTGCACTCACTCCCCCCCTTCTTTTCCTCCCCCTACTCCCAGAGGGATGTAGAGGAGAATCGAAAAGAATGCAACTCCCACGGGTTGAGATAAGAACAGTTTAGTAACTAAGGTATAACACAAATCACTACTGCTACCACCAATAATAGTAATGATAAAGGAAATAACAAGGGAAGAGAATACGATACCACCCGCCAAAATGAGCCCGACCAAGCAGTGAGTGCCCCTCCAGGTAACTCTCAGTTACATCCTGGGCATGACGTGCTGTGGTATGGAATACCTCTTTGGTCAGTTTGGGTCAGGTGTCCTGTTTCTGCTTCCTTCCAGCCTCCCCGCTCCCTGGCAGAGCATGAGACTCACAAAGTCCTTGGTCAGGGTAAAACATTGGTGTTATCAGTGCTGCTCCCAGGCCGAAAGTCAAAACCACAGAGCTGCACCAGCTACTAAGAAGGAGAAAAAAATGACTGCTACTGCTGAACCCAGGATATCTACAAAGATTTAATCTGTTTTCACTGAGACCAGGCATTTATCATTAATATTGTTTGACCTAGGAAATTATCTGCACTCTTAAGTTTCCCTCTCTGGTTGGACACTAGTTTTGCCACTTTTACTCCATTCAGAATCACCAGTAACTTGTGTTTTCCAGCTCTTAATGTGACAGGTAACAAGGACAATGGAAAGCACTCAGTGACAGATGCAACCTTGTTGCATCTGGAGGTGCAAACGTGTTTTCAGTTTAGCATGCTAAAGGGCATCAGTTCAGAGCCTTAGGTGGTTTGGAGCATATGTTGCTGCTGAAAATGAGAAATAAAGTGTATTTTGAAGACAGTTGTCCAGGCATGTGTGTGTGGAGCATTTAACTCTCTGAACACTGGGAAGAAATGTCTAGACTGAGTCAAACTAATGAAATGCCTCTGATGGTAAAAATAAGCCTGCTAGAAGTCCTCTTGTGAGCAAAATGAATTAGTGCTCTTGTACACTGCTACAGCACTTAATGTTTTCTGTTACAGTTTCCTTAGAAGAAAATTGCCCTTGATACCACAATGATATTTCAACAATTTTTTATACCCAGATCCCTATTATTAAGCATTTTTTCTTTATTAATAGTTGATGCCTCTGTTTAAGGCTTCAATTCGAAAATATCTTTCAAATCTACTTTATTAGATTTTGAGTAAATGTTCCCCAAATCTCTTTAGCATTTTGTTAAAAATGAATGTCATATATCTTTTGATAAAACCTACAGAGTTAACTGCCTAATAAAATACTACATGACTAAAATGATTATTAATATTTTAGCATTATGCTGAAGTATGAGTGTTCTCCCAGCAAAGGTATGAATCACTGGTTTTTCATTTCTTTAATTCTTTATTAATTGGTACTTGAGGCAATAAACCATAGCATATAACTTTGGCTTCAGATAAGGTTTAATGAGTGCCTGACCTTTGCTTGGATAATTCTGTCAGTGAACCGATTCAAGATAACCCTTTGAAGCTTGAATTCCTGTATTGAATGCTACTTGCTTTTCACTGTCCTTGATTTAAATGGACAGTACTGAAAGTTGGCTTTTTATCTGAAAAAAAAAAGGCTTCCATAAGAAAGCTTTCTTTTAAATGACTCATTTAATGGAAATTTAATTTTGTGTGTCTCTTTAATTATTCTGCAATATAACAGAAGTCTGGTTATAGCTGAAACCAAGGACCACCTATCCTAACTGAGTTATACAGCCTACTAAGCTATAATAATCAGCATGATGGCCCTTCCACCTAAATGTACATCATGCATATGGATTTGCAGTAAAAATCCAGCAGAGTAAGTCCTAATTCTTTTAGTGTCCCACAGAGTACACCTGGAGAAATCAGAAAGTTACTGCATAAATGAAATTGTATATTAAGTGGGGGACCTGAAGAGGTTTGATACCTTTCAGGTAATTCTTAAAAAATTCAGATAGTCAGTCTCAAAACTTGTCTTAAGTCTCTTGAGAACAGGCTCCCCCAAGGGGATCTCCAGTACTTTCTAGTTGTGGCTGGATTTGAAATAGCATGAGAGCAGTCACTCATGCTTTAAATTGGGATTTATGTTTTCTATTGCTCTCTGAATCCCAATGTGCAGTTAGGCATGAGGAAATGTGAAAATGTCCCACCTCATTCTGACTCTAAAAATATTTAATGATTTTAGACACTGCTGAAAGATGTAGACAGTGTATTCTGTACCTTAAGATATCTTTTTTTCTGGGGGAGTTTCTGACTACCATACCTAGTGGTAGTATCAAAGTATCAAAACATTTGTTGCTGGAAGAAAGTAGAACCTGATTTTTATATTAAAAAAAAAAAAAAAAAAGCAGCCCACATAAAAAGCACACAAATCTGTTAGCAGAAATAGCCCTCTTATTTGACACTAAACATACACGAGGAAGTCTAGATTAAATACTTTCTCTGATCTTTGGCAAGTATGTAAGTTAAGGCCAGACACATCTTACAAGAGTACCTTACACAGTGGCTAGCATGACCAGTGTGTACATTATATTCTCTATTGAAAAACTGTTTCTGTGAATATAAAATAAGTAATATTTATTGAAGCAGGGTTTGGAACTTGAATCTGATGCTTTTGAGCCATTTTAACCCTCAACAATGAATAGCTAATGATTGAGTGCAAAATATAACAGCTTCACTTCAAAATGCCTTTGTTTTAGCAGTGTTTAAAATACATTCAAGGGTTCAACTCCAGTTTTTAATCAGAAAACCTGAAACTAACTGTCAGGGATACACAGACAGGGGAGACTTTATCCCTGTCCTTTTATGAAGGGAGATAATTAACACATTTTAAAAAATAGTAGCACATCTGTATAGTATCAGATCAGGTCAGTAAATCTAGCTTGAAAATCATATTATTTCCATTTGTTGGATTCTAAACAACTTTTGGGTTTTGTTTTGTTTTGGTTTTGTTTGTTTGTTTGCTTTGCTTTTTAAAAATTCTACACTTAGTACCATTTGTTGCAAATAATTCACATTCCTGGGCATTCACAAGTAGTTTAATGAATTACAATTGCATTCTTCAATAAAATGCTGAAAAGAAAATAGCTAGTCCTAGTTACATGCTTAAATAAACGTGTTTCAATGCTTTGATAAAAGTTTTGCCCTAGGCATTGGTCTTATCATTTGCATACGTTGATTCAAAAAATTTGAGAATTTTTACCTGCAAAATCTGCCAGTTTCCCAGTGGAATCACACTCAGTTCTGTATGGAGATTTGGACTCATTTTTCACACTGAACGTGCCATTTGCAAAGGCAAGACATCAGGGCTAACAGAAACAACCTAGAAAGGGGAAATAGATCTAGCTGCTTACAGCTAACAGCATAAAACTGTGGAAACAAGCTGCCTCACTATGGTTAAGAGACTCCACTCCAGTGAACAGAATTAATTAAGTTCGTTTCCACGCAGGACTGCCCTTGGTCCACAGAGAGTCAAAGGGCAGTTGAAAAGTATAATTACTTGTGTTAAAGAGAAAATGGCAATGGGAGTTAGCCCAGCCTCACAATGTGATTTAAGAGAACAGCATGCCTTCGTTGTATTTTTAGTTTGATGTGGGTGAATTACAATGCAGGGGGAAAAAAGCTCTATGTGAAACAGTACTTACCAGATATAAATGGAAACACTCATTCAAATTCTTCATTCAAAGTATTAACGAAGGAGAAAAAAGAAAAAAAAGCTAGCCGCTCCTATAATATGTCCAGCAGAAGGAATGAATGGCATTAATTACAGTTTGCTTGAGATTGACATGAGAATAAAAAACAACTGCCAAATAAGGACTACTAATTTTCAACCTTCTTAGAAAATATTAGCTGTTGTGTCCACTCATTCCTTTTGATCCAGTATGCACTAAACATTTGTCCATTTCCACCTACTCTGACCTGCACCATTCACCAGAGTGTCACAGGCATTTTAACAGCCTAACTTGGACTATAGACACTGTACCTCTCCAGGCCTTTTCCAAAGCTTATATAGGAACATATACTTTTTTGTTGACACCTGCCAGGTGATTGGCAAGTTTCTGTGACACCTATTTTTTAATTTTTTCTCTACTTACAATGGTATTTGGAATAATTTAGTACAATTTTGGATTGCATTTTTCCCTTAACCAACTGCTATAAATATAGTGAGAGTCAGTTCTGAAAATTTTCCAATATGGGGACAGTAAACAAGAGCCATATTATTTTCTCCTGGACACTGAGGTTTCTCTGTTACTTTCACCTTTTTTTTTGTATAGTATATCTGAATATTTTTAATGGAATAATATCCAATTGCAATTTAAGCCTCCTCAAAGGATATTGGTCAGCTTGAAAATACAGGCAGAGTTGCTGAAGGAATCATGTGTTTTTTTAGTTGTGTTAGCACTGTCTCTGCTTCTGTTAACATCAGCAAGTTGTCCCGTAGAAACAAGCATTTTAACAGCTGTCCCAAACATTTAACTGGATCTCTGTTAGCTTGTTACTCTTGTTTCTTTTGTTTATGACCTACAAAGACACTCAAAATTCAAATTCAGGACCTTTTATTTCAGAATAAGTCTCACCTAAATTACTTCCTCTATTAATTTTATAAAATACTGTGTAATTACATCAGGAACTCCCTGAAGTACCTTCTTTCCTTCCCTACTCTTCCATGAGATGTTTTAGATTCAATGATGATGATGTTGCTCAATGAAAATGTGCTGGCAAAGCTAATTGATAGTATAAAATAAGAAATCAGCTAAAAGACCAAGGCCATCAGGATTATACGCAAAACCGAATTCCAGTTCGTTGAGCCACAGATGTTAAAAGTAAAAAATATACACACAAAAAAGGTCAAGATGTAATTTCAGGACTAAGTAAAAAAAAAAAAAAGAAACTCAGTATTACTTTGAGTAGAAGTTGCTGTGCTAGCTGACTTGGACTGAACTTCTTGTGCTATTTCAGTTGTAAATGGTTCAACATGAAAGCTAAAACTGTGGAAGCAATGTTAATTGCTGAATCAGCTGTGTAGTGAAAAATCAGAGAGCTCAGAGCAGCCTTCAAAAAACTCACAGTGGTTTCAAAAATATTGAAAGGAGGAGATAGAGAAATAAATGAAACATGAAACTTGCACTTCAAAATGCACAGATGCATAAGAAAAAGGGTAGCAACAACATAATGATATGTAATTATGTGACAATATTCATAAGACTAGAGCAGTATAAAACAAAATTGATGAGACAACTCACATACATAAAATACAGCTATTCTGTTTATTTGGACTAGGTCCTCTGTAGAGAGAAGGGAAGGAAGGAATTTGAAAGGATTTGTATGATTGGAAAAGACAGGGTTGTTTGTCCAGTTCCTCATACAGTACTAGATAAAGGTAAAGTGCTTGTGTGATTTAGCATATCTGGATAGCAGATGCTAAGAAATATGATTAGAACTTCCCATGTGTAGGAAAGACTTACAGGCTTCAATGACAGCATTGCAGTTTAATAGGCTTCGGCATTTGATCTTGTTTCATCAGGAGTGGCAAAGGGCAGTTCAGCAATACTGGAAATAAGCAGAGGAAAACTTCCTGCACTTCAGACCAGGTTTTAGTTCTTTGCAGTGAACCTGGTTATGTTTATAATAACAGCAGTGAAGGAGAAACTGCTATATACTCCTGAATTTGTCATTGTCATGGTTTAAAAAACCAGTCAGGTAGCTCGTTCACTCACTCCCCCCCTTCTTTCCCTCCCCCTACTCCCGGAGGGATGGAGAGGAGAATCAAAAAGAATGTAACTCCCACAGATTGAGATAAGAACAGTTTAGTAACTAAGGTATAACACAAATCACTGCTGCTACCACCAATAATAGTAATGATAAAGGAAATAACAAGGGAAGAGAATACAACACCCCATCACCAGGTGACCGATAACTCGCCCCCACCGAGCCCGACCAAGCACTGACCGATACCTAGTCTAACCCTAGAGTCCCTAGCCCTTCTGGGTAACTCCCAGTTACATCCAGGGCATGACGTGCTGTGGTATGGAATACCTCTTTGGTCAGTTTGGGTCAGGTGTTCTGTCTCTGCTTCCTACCGGCTTTCCCTCCTCCCTGGCAGAGCATTAGGCTCAGAAAGTCCTTGGCCAGACCAAACATTTGAGCAGTAACTAAAGATATCAGTGCTATCGGCACCGTTCCGAGGCCGAAAGTCAAAACCGCGGCACTGCACCAGCTACCAAGAAGAAAAAAATAACTGCTACTGCTGAACCCAGGAGAGTCATACCTACCAGATTTGTCATTTAGGAACACAGTTAATAATGGTGCCTGATAATATCAGCAGCGAAAGATCTGGAGGAATCTCCAGACAAATAAAATATATTTTATGGGCCAGATAATCCTCTACAGGAGCCTATTTTCATTGTCTGTCCAGAGAAGCCATGGATAGCTGGAGTTCTGATTCTGATGGCTCAAGACAGATGACATTAGTCTCACTCATACTGAATAAATGTAGTATTAACATAGAGCTTTCTACAGTGCATGAAAGCTACATATTAAAGAAAAAAACCCTCTCCATTTAGAAATGTTAGGTAACCCATAGCACGCATTTTCTTAGTGTGAAATTCTATATACTGCTTAACCACTCTGTTTCAGTTCCTCAGTTTAGGACATGTTCTGGCAGCATGTGCCCATGTGAAAAGTCCTGTTGTTCTGACTTGCTGCTGGGAAAATCTATTATTCAGACCTGGTTGGAAGAAGTTGGGTTGAGCCCTTGCCAGTGTCAAGACAAGGTAGACCTGTCTGTTCCTAGCAGGAACAGGCTTTCAGCATGGTTATGCGAACTATGATTTTCTCATGTATCTTCACTGCCCTTTTAATATCAGTGGAAGTGATGACTTCCACCACCATGACGACCTTCTTAGGAGGGTTCACATTGCCACCTGACATGCTTAGGGAGCTACTTTCCCAGGGCTCTACACATAGCAAATGGAAAAAGCTTTCAGAAATATATTCAGAGCAGATGCAGTTTAAGGGCTCAAGTTTCCTCCTAGAGGCTATAGAGAAATCACAGAGAGAGTAGCTTTCTAGTTTAGGCCCAAAAGTATTCATTTTCAAGAAGCAGAGACAACACAGTCATATTCTAACCTGGTATCTAAACTATGTGAATTCTCCCATAGAATTGTCATAATCTATTTTATATTTTGAAGTCTGTAGAAATGTTAACAGGCAGCTAATCATCAACAATACAACTAATTTGAATTTAATAAGTTACAAAGCCAAAAAGACAACTGAAATTCATTTCTAGTAGTCAGAAACATCATACATTTCAGTCCACTAAGGTGAGTCCTCTGTTGCCATCTTAGTACAATGTATTACCAGGTAAGTATTGAGAGCATAGCTGTAGGAGTGAGGAATATCAGCATATACAGATGGATACCAAAAGTGGCTAAACTGCATCTTGTAGTTTAGTTTCATCTGGAAGGAATATAGTTCCCACGGAATCAGGTAAGGTATTTGGAATCCTTCAAAAGCTCATATTAGGTTCAAATGCCAACGGTGCAGGGTTAAAAAGCACCTCCTGCCTGTCAGGCCTCCAGACAACCTTCTTTTATTAGCCCCAGTTTTCTCTCTCAGTGTTTTTGTATCTGGCAGGTCATTCATTCTGTCCCACAGAGGTAGGGTATTAATATGATTTGCTGTTCTCCACAAGATGCAGCACATTTAATCCATGTGACAGCCATTTTGTAGAATGAGCAGATGTATTTATTAATCACTTGCTATGAGTTTCTAAGTTTTATTACCTCCACTTTGGGATCAATATTCTTAATTGTTCCTTGCTGTGGCTGCTGCATGTGATAATATGTTAGTAACTTCAGACTAGAAAAGAAATACTGATGTAACATCTACGATTTCTTAAATTATGAATGAACAAATTTTTTAGGGTTGGAATCCTGGAGAGAAATAGATACACAAAGAAAGGTAGTTTATGTTCATCTTTTCAGTTTGATTATCTAGCTATGTCAAGATGAGTTTTGCTATAGATTTCTAGTTTCTCCTTTGATAGTAGCAGTATCACCTATTTCCATCTGAGAGTTTCTTCAGGATCAAGTCTGTTGTGGGAAATGGCACAATATTTCTGTATTATCACTATCTGAACAAGATGCCTTTTCAACCTAGTTCCTAATCTTAAAGATACCAGGAACCACAGATCCATTTTACATCTCAAACCCCCTAAACGCTTATATCATGTATATGAAGTTCAGAACTGAAACTTTACAGTTTGCGATAAGAGACATTTTGCCTAGAAGGTGTGTCAGCTCAGTGCAAGTTTTCACATACCTGATTTGTCTTTGTCTCAGAAAATGGTTCAGATTCATCTTCCTGGAGGCTGATGAGCTATTCACTGCTATTTCCATCAGGATTTCAGACTATATCCTGAAATGTCTGTTGAAAAAAAAAATATAATCCCTGGTGATTACAACTCATTTTCTGAAATTGGGTCGTTCTGTCTTCCCATGCCTTGGGATAACCAATTAAAAGAAGGAAAGCTAAAGAACCAGAAGAAATGCCCCAAACTCTGAGATCTTCAGCCTCTCATCAGTCTTCAGGAGCATCAATTTAATTTTTCATGGTAAAAACTTAGTGTCTTGGGACCCTTCATAATAGACTTGACACAGTTTATAAAATCAACAGCTCTAGCTGCTTACTGTATATTTAACGATATGGTGATTGTCACCAGAAGACCCTACAACAGCTGTAGAAAAAGACATTACGATCAAAAAAGATCACATATTTACCACAAAAATTATGGCAGAATGTAACTGAGTTTCATAATTTAGTCCTAGATGTCTTAAAGTATTATGATGGAAATATGTTTGAATCTGATGAAAATATTTTCAAAGAAGGGTGTTCTTTTGTTGAAGTTCATACAAAGATTGGAAATTGCTTTTCAAAACATCATTTTAGTAAAAAGTGATAAATATTATTTTGCACACAATCTAACAATGTACTGTTTTAACCATTTCCTAGTTTAGCATTTCAAGATGATGGCGTCCTAGCTTGTATTTAATATTAAATTATTTTTGTTGTTACAGTATAGTAATATAAAAGGGAATATGAGAACTGCAATGCTTTTGTTTGATGAAATGGAAGGTTTGTACCAACAACTATAGCATTCAAGCAAGGGTGGTAAAAGAACTAGTTTGAAAGAGGTTTTATCTTAATTATCTTGAAAATTGTGTATATTAATTTCCACTAGATCTCGGAAAAGCAGAACTCCAGAAGACTAAGAGAGGTTTGAGATGGTGCCAGTATACAAAGGAATTTGGATAAGCACACAGCAGTTGGTCTGACATGAGTTGTAGCAAAATAATGGACAAGGTGGCAAGGGATTCAGTTTTTAAAGGACTAAAGTATAGATATATATTAATGTAAGTCAACATGATGTCTAGTACTCATATTTAGAAGCTAAAATGGGGATGGACACATGTATTGTAGGGAGGTATTAGGAAGAAGCATGAATGCTGGAAGTAATTGTGTATAATATAATTGTGTATAATTGTGCATGCAAAGGTTATGTGTACCTGCATTGTCAAACTGGACTTTACTGGGCCAGTAATTTGCAAGTGCAATTAACTTCAGGCTCAGTTTAGCTAATTTAAATATCTAAGTAGCAATTGTGTATTTGTACCAGATCCCTTGACATCTAAATTGGGATGCAAATAATTGTAGAAGAAAAAAATCTGCCTGTGATTTACAAAAATCAAAGCTGTAGAAAATCAATACCCTCCAACAAACCATATGTCCCTTATCTTTAGATAATGATGATAAAACTTTCCTCACAAATGTTTTGCTGTATCCATATACATTTTCCTATATCTTGCACTGTCAATCTGAAAGTAATTCTCTTGCGCCCTCTGAAAGGTAAGCTGTTTTTCAAACATAGCTTACCTTACGCATCAACAAACTTCAAGCATTTTTGTCTGTATCAGTTTGTCAACATTTGAAGCTATTTAACTGGGCTGCATATATAATTGGTTAGGTACAGAAAATACTAACCACAATCATTAGCTTAATTCCTTATTCTAAATTGTTCTTAGCTAATAACAAGATGAAAGGCAGAGAAAAATCTCCCCAAAACCAACAAAATAAAACTAGAGACAAAAGCCCAGAGAGGATCTCTGAGTTTTTGCCACTAACCCATAACCTCAAATTCTGTTTGCATAATATTCTTAGGGTCATGTTTGTCAGTTATTTGATAGAGGATCCATGTGACAGAAGAATGAGGTTTAGAAAAATAATTCTGTCTGGAGTTTGATACTTAAAAATACTTAATGATCTGCATTTGCCATACAGGACATTATTTAATCCTTTTCCCCTCTTTTTCAACACCTTGAGAATTCTCACAGCAAACACTGACCAAAGAGTACCTCAACTTAGTTAGCTCGGAAACTCATAGAACATGAGAATGATGATTTATATGAATCATAGAATCATAGAATAGTTAGGGTTGGAAAGGACCTTAAGATCATCAAGTTCCAACCCCCCTGCCATGGGCAGGGACACCTTGCTCTAAACCATATTACCCAAGGCCTCGTCCAACCTGGCCTTGAACACTGCCACGGATGGAGCATTCACAACCTCCCTGGGCAACCCATTCCAGTGCCTCACTACCCTAACAGGAAAGAACTTCGTCCTTATATCCAATGTAAAATTCCCCTGTTTAAGTTTTAACCCATTACCCCTTGTCCTACCATTACAGTCCCTGATGAAGAGTCCATCCCCAGCATCCCTATAGGCCCCCTTCAGATACTGGAAGGCTGCTATGAGGTCTCCACGCAGCCTTCTCTCCTCCAGGCTGAACAACCCCAACTTTCTCATCTGATCTTCATATGGGAGGTGCTCCAGTGCCCTGATCATTCTTGTGGCCCTCCTCTGCACTTGTTCCAACATATCCATGTCCTTTTTATGTTGAGGACACCAGAACTCTACACAATACTCCAAGTGAGGTCTCACAAGAGCAGAATAAAGGGGCAGGATCACCTCTTCGACCTGCTGGTCTCGCTCCTTTTGATGCAGCCCAGGATACAGTTGGCTTTCTGGGCTGCAAGCGCACACTGCTGGCTCATGTTCATTTTCTCATTGACCAGCACCACCAAGTCCTTCTCTGCAGGGCTGCTCTGAATCACTTCTCTGCCCAACCTGTAGCTGTGTCTGGGATTGCTCCGACCCAGGTGTAGGACCTTGCACTTGTCATGGTTAAACTTCATGAGGTTGGCATCATCCCACCTCACAAGCGTGCCAAGGCCCCTCTGGATGGCATTCCTTCCCTCCAGCATATCAACCAAACCACACAGCTTGGTGTCATCAGCAGTCTTGCTGAGGGTGCACTCAATCCCACTGTCCATGTCAGCGACAAAGATGTTAAACAAGACCGCTCCCAACACAGATCCCTGAGGGACACCACTCGTTACTGGCCTCTAGCCGGACATTGAGCCATTGGCCACAGCTCTTTGTGTGGGGCCATCCAGCCAGTTCTTTATCCACCGATTGGTCCATTCATCAAATTGATGTCTCTCCAATTTAGAGAGAAGGATGTCGTGTGGGACAGTGTCGAACACTTTACACAAATCCAGGTAGATGACATCAACTGCTTTACCACTGTCCACCAGTTCCATAGCCCCATCATAGAAGGCCACCAAATTGGTCAGGCAGGATTTCCCCTTAGTGAAGGCATGCTGGCTGTCACCAAGCATCTTGTTGTTTTTCATATGCCTTAGCATGCCTTCCAGGAGAATCTGCTCGAAGATTATGCCAGGCACAGAGGTGAGACTGACTGGTCTGTAATTCCCCGGGTCACCCATTTTCCCCTTCTTGAAAATGTGGGTTATATTTCCGTTTTTCCAGTCATCAGGAACTTCACCTGACTGCCATGATTTTTTAAATATGATGGTCAGCGGCTTAGAAACTTCATTCGCCAGCTGCTTCAGGACCCATGGATGGATTTCATCAGGACCCATGGACTTGTGCACGTTCAGATTTTTAAGATGGTCTCGAACCAATTCCTCTCCTACAGTGGGCCCAAGGTCTTCATTCTCACAGTCCCTGCGTCTGCCTTCCAAGACTTGAGTGGTGCAGTCAGAGCCTTTGCTAGAGAAGTCCGAGGCAAAGAAGTCATTCAGAACCTCAGCCTTCTCCAAATCCTGTGTAGCTAGTTCACCCGAGAGGTTCCTGAGGGGGCCTACGTTCTCCCTAATCTGTTTTTTATTTGCTATGTACCTGTAGAATTCCTTCCTGTTATCCTTAATATCCCTAGCCAAGTTTAATTCTAACTGGGCCTTAGCTTTCCTAACCTGGTCCCTAGCTTCCTGGACAACATCCCTGTACTCTTCCCAGGCCGCCTGTCCTTGCTTCCACTTTCTATAAAGCTCTTTTTTCATTTGAATTTTCCTCAGGAGCTCCTTATCCATTCAAGGAGGTCTCCTGGCCCTCCTGCTGCACTTCCTTCTAGTTGGGATGAAATGAGAACAAGGGCCTGTGAGCGTGAGGCTTTTCCTATCTGCCTATAGAGTGCTTCATCCGCAGATTCCTCTTGATCAGGTGGTCTATAACGTATGCCCACAGTAATGTCTCCCATCGATGTTTTCCCTTTAACCCTGGCCCACAAGCTCTCTGTTAACTGCTCAGTTAATAGGGTTTTTGAATGAGTTTTGTTACAGTACAATGTATTAAAGGTGTAATTGTATTTATTGTATTCATATTTAGGTAGGGTAGGAATAACATATTTGTCAAGATTTGGATGTGGATGTGATTCATTTCTCCCCATGGCCCCCTAAAATTAATAAAAAATTATACAGTTATAGGAAACATGAATTAGATGAATTAAAAAATACCTAACAAAAAGAAAGATCTAGAAACATCTATGGTAGTGCCAATAGATAAAGGAAATCTCCTCCTCCCTTCTTGCCCCCTTTCCTTTGTTCCTTTTACCAGTAGTTTCTATGACTTCTTTCCTTGTCCATCCGTTTAATTTTACAACGTCTTGTGTGGCTGCAATTTTGAGCAATAAGGACATTTTTTCAGTAGTTTTTGTTTAATTGTTTTGGGGGTTTGGGGTATTTGAGGTTTGGTATTTTTTAATGGCATTTAAAAGGCATTTAAAAACAAGTGACCAGGAGATGCAAAAAAATCCTCTCCTTAGTTCTGGTAACTTGTTTCTGTGCAAATCATTAAGAAAGTTCCTTTGCAAACATTTTTGTAGGCTAAGTTCAGAGGGGTTAAACCAAATCAAGATAAAAGTGATTTAATTTTTAAGTACATGTAATTAACTAACAATTAGTGAACTATGCATTCAGGATCAATACCAGCAATTCAACAGATAAATCACAACACTAGACACTTACTAAATGCTATACCCAAACATTCCTGAACAGCTTTCTATGGTTCATCCTAGAAAACTGTAATTGCATCCATCTCACCCGACCTCCTCAGGTTGAATGCACCTCACCCCAGAAGAAATGTGAATCACAAGCACCACCCTTCCAAGCTGCACACTCCTCCTGTGGGAAGTTTTACGTGCAACTATGCTGCTCCCCTCAACTGATAACACAAAGTAGGTTCATACTTGCACAACCATGCAGGTCCTTGGGCATTGCTCCACATACTGTCATCCACCCCACGGGTTGCTCATAGCCTCTAACAGGGAAGCTCCTCTGGCCAGCCTTGTGAGTGGTAGTGTTACCCTGGAACAATTTGTGGCAATGGCAAGCTTGGCATTAACTGCTGCTTTTTCCACTGAAAAGTTTCTGTGCACTGCTATAAATACTTGCACTTCTTTTGTACTTCTTTCAAGCTGATTCCTCTGTTAAAAAAAACTCTTTTCAGTTCCAAGGTTTAATCTGGCTGGTGGCCATCTTCCTCTTCAACTTGATAAGTTTTGGACAAACACCCTTTTAGACAGTTTTGGGTTGTTCCATCCAGATGTACAGTGCACACTCAGGTTCCTATCCCAGAGGCTGTGGC